CCAGGTAATGCATGACAAAACGCTACTCATTGGAAGGGAGCAATTCATTTTCCTTTTTAAAATTCTAGCTCATTCAAAATTCCTCCCAAAATGTCCTTGCTTTTTTTTTCAAAGTTTTATTGATAAACAAATAGCAATGAGACAGTTTCAAATCAAATCGGAAGTATAGTTTCAACAAATACTACACTGCATATATTCTTCTTAGTGTCCTTGCTTTAATAAGCTCATAAGAAAACTACAAATTAAGAAAAACACAAAAGTAGGAAGGAAAGCCAGAAATAAATTTTATATATTTTGAACCCATATAAATTAGTTTTAACAAATATGAATGTCAACTAGACTCTAATATGGAAAAACAAATTCAGATAAGCTAACACATAGAATGAATCTTTTTCAAACACAAAGAAGTCTACAGTTTCAATTAGAAAGGCAGATATTCTCATTGCCATTAAATAATAATGGATAGGTCTTTACTGAATATTGGGTTAACGTGATATGAAATTACTTTTGCTGATGCACTTACATATTTTAGGCTAGATATGATTGAAATATAAAGCAGAAACCAGCCCCCTCTCTTTGGGCCACCAATTTCCCAAGATCATTAGCATCTTTTACCAAAGGGATGTCAATCTTTATTTGGATTTTCTCCCTGCTGTTCTGCTCCTTATTGATGCCTTTGTTCTAACCCAGGTGAACATGTGGAGGAGGTATGAGAGACTTATTGCCCACTTGTATTAGCTGAGAAATTTTGGCCACAAGTAACAGAAAATCTAAGAAAATCGCTTTTTTAATAAGAAATATTTATTATCTCACATAAGAATATATCTAGGCAAGAATGAAGGTTGGCTAGTTAGTGTCACCAGGGGTCCATGTCCTTTCCATTTTTCTCCTCTGCCATTCTCATTAGCGATAGTACCTTTGGCCAGTTTCAGGCAACACCTGCAGACACAACGGTTTTCTGTGCGTCTCTTCTTCATGAACAAGCAAATCATTCTCAGAGGTCTCCGCTGACCAGAACCGCATACAGTGACCTACTTACTTTTCTACCATTCACTGGTGGGGAAGGCGACTGGTGTCAGGAAGCACAAGCTGAGGGAAGAAGGGTGAATTACAAAGGAAGACATGGGGTTTTGTAGAAAAGAGGAAGGAGGAGCATGGATCATGGGGAAACCACACCAACGTCTATTTCACCCTGAGGAGCTGTGGGTTTCTCTGTATTCCAGGCCAAAGTAAACTTTTTGCTGCCTTTCTCAGGACCATGTACTAAACAATAACAGATTTTACGGAAAGAAAGGTATTTGGTGTTTCTCTTGCTAGAGGTCTCTCCCTGTGTGTGTGTGTGTGTGTGTGTGTGTGCGCGCACACGCAAGCACATCTCTATCTCCATGTGTCTATGTCTCTCTCTCTCTCTCTCTCTCTCTCTCTCTCTCTCTCTCTCTCTCTCTTCCCTCCCCCCTCAGCCCCTTACCTCCACAGATGCTTTGTTTGTTTTGACAGGAACCCTTCCTTTCCCTTGGAGCAGACCCCTATTCCTTTACCTACCGTGTATTTTAAGCATTTTAGGGCACAAGAGATTACAATGGATTTATGTTCTTAACATATAAACAAAGCTCTGATAAGTTCCCAATGAAATGGGCCAGAACTTTGATAGAAAGATTTCCAAAAGTATCTCCATAAAACTCTGGGAACGTTCCATAAAAAAATAGAGGATGTTAGCCAGGCACGGTGGAACACGCCTGTTATCCCAGCACTGGGAGGAGGAAGCAGGATGGCAAATTCAAGCCCAGCCTGGAAATTAGTGAGTTAGTAAGGCCCTGTCTCAGGAAAAAAAAAATAATAATAAGAAAGTGCAAATGCCCTGGCTTTGACCCCCAGGAAACAGAGATTCTATGATCAAGTATATTAGTGATGTTGTACATGCTTTCCTTCTCTTGTGAATTCAGAAGTCTCCAAGAAGTCCTCCTATTAAATTGCTCAGAGTGAATTCTGGAATCAATCTCCATGTGCTCAAATCTATGTTCCACCACTTGCCAGCTGTATAAATGTCATAAACCTCTGTTTTGTCATTTGAGACAAGTGCAGCCTAAGGTTACTATTTAATTGGGATTGCTGTTGGGTGAGATAAGCTATGCAAAGTTTTCAGTACTGTGCTTTGTATATATACTCAGTTAACAAATATTTACTTACTATATATCAACATATATGTATATATGCTATGTATATGTATATATGTAAATACTATACATATTCACGTATGTATATATGTAAATACTATACATATTCACATATGTATATATGTAAATACTATACATATTCACATATGTCAAGATCCCAGGCCTCAGAGAGCCTACATTCTAATGGAGGAGAGAAAGGACAGATGATAAAGAAGTAAATACATAAAATAATTCAGATAATGATGTTATGTTTATTAGAAAAATATAAACATATCGATGTTGTAAAACATAACCAGGAGGTGAATAACTGTCTTAGCTGAAAAAGCCAGGGAAGACATTTCTGAAGAAAGCATTTGATCTGAGATCTGAGATATGAGAATGAGCTAGTCATTCATTCAATAAATGTTTTTTCCACATTCAGTGTGTACCAAAGACTATCTTAGCGACTAGGTATAAAGCAACAGACAAGGTAGGAATGTACCTGCTCTAATGGAACTCAAATTCCAGTGTGAGAAAACCAAAGGAAAATATACAGTGTGCCAAGTGACAGAGTGCTGTAAGGAAGAAAATAAAAAGAAAAAATGTTTAACTTAAACCTTAAATTTTTAGTAGGGCTGCAGGGCTCCCTCACTGAAAGGGTGGTACATACACAAAGATCTGAAAGAAGTGCCCGCCCCCAACAGTGCGCTGAGATGGAGATTGAGACAGGGCATGGTGGCACGCACCTGTAATCCCAGCACTTGGGAGGCTGAAATCAGTAGGATCACTATGAGTCTGATCTGTGTAGTGAGACCCAGTAGACCCTGTACTAAATACAAAAAAAAAAAAAAAAAACACAGATCTGAAGAAGTAAAAAAGCCATGAAAAAATCTAAGGGAAAGGGCTGGGTGGGGTGTAGTTCAGTATTAGAAAGCATGCCCAGCATTGAGGAGCCCTGTGTTCAGTCAGGACAGAAGAGAGCAAAGATTAGAGGGAGGAGGCAGACTGGAGGAAGATAATTTTAGGCCAAGAAGCAGCAGCAAGTACAAATCTGTGCAGTGAGGGCATGCTTGATGCATTTAAGGAAAAACAAGGAGGCTGGCGTGGCCAGAGGCAAGTAAGGAAACGCGAGCTGGTGAGAACAGGGCACCAGCCATGTAGGAATAGCAAAGGTCAGGAGTAAATTCTTCCAGGCAGATGGAGCAGCAGCGGCAAAGGCCCTGAACCAGAACGAATGTCGGCCTATTCAAGCAACAGAAAAGTGGTTGGCAGAGCTGGACACACCAAGCCAGGGGAGGTGTGGGGGTGAGGCCCGAAGAGTAGCTGGGGTCAGATCACGCAGAGCCTTACAATTATAGGGCGGTGTGAGGAATATATATTAGAAGCAAGAGTCAATTTTATTTAGCTCATCTGCTGTCTCAATCCCCAAATGCTGTGAATTATGCCACTGTCAAACTCACCGTAGCAGGAAATTGCTAGTGGGTCTCCAAATTCTCTTTTCTTTTAGGTTTAAGTTTCAATTGGTCAAATCACTCCTCTTTTCAAAAATTCCTTTTGATTATGCTTTAATTGTAGAATCGACTCCATGCCCGCAGCCTGCCCAGATTTCAAGGTCTCCCCGTTATGATTCTTTTCAGGTACCCGGTTAGAGGAAACGAAACTGCACTCTGCATTACGCGATCTCGGTACATGATTCCTAACTTGGCTCATCACTTAGCTGCGTCGCTTAGCTCAGGCCAGTCCCTCCGCATGACTTCTCCTCACCTTATTCTCTGGCTACCAGAAGTTCTCTCCACTTTCAAAGCGAGCCGAGTGCCACTCTTCTCTGACCGTGTGGCTGATGGCACGGTCACTCACGTATTCCTTCAGCCATGTGCTCATCAGTTTCGCTTGTGTTCCTGGTTAGTGTGTCTGTCAGGTCACCTTTCTGCAGAATGAGTTGTCACTCCTCTCACTTCCATTAAATTGTGAGCGGCCTGAAGGCATAAGCTCCACTGTCCAGACGTAGCACCTAACATAATTGCCAGCACAGAGTAATCAGTTAAGTTGTTAATGAAATGGAATCCAAGAGTCCTTTAAGCAAAGTGCTGGGACATAAAAAGAGCGTGCTCACGTTCTCAAAGAGTTTATAAATCCATAATAGTAGCTTCCATTCTTCCATTTATCAGGTCCTAACAATGATCCCATCACTATGCATACAGCATCCCATTTAACACTCATAGTGACCCAGTGAGGGTCATGTTATAACCCTCAGATTAGAGAATGTAGTTAAGGAACTGACTTGTCTAAATTCACAGAATAAGGCGCAGGCTTTAAACTGAGGTCCCTCCTGCTTCCAAGCCTGTGTTCTTTCCATTATACATGATATCAATCAGGCCCTAGTCAGGAAAGAAACAGCCTTTGTCAGAGGAAGGGAATGTTTTATTTGTTTTGTTTTTTTCAGATGAATGGAAAAGTGAAGAAGCCAAAGCATGAATAGTGAAGCAGTTCAAAGATTAGCCAAATCAGAAAGCCATTCTCTTTTATTGCAAGGGTGACACTAGGAGAAGAGAGTGCCACCAGAGCCCAGACCCTGGGCCGCCGGGCAGGGGCAGTGAGAGCTGCTGGGGAAACTGCTCAAGTGGAAGAGGGACCAGGAAGGGAGGGGCCGTCCAGTGAGAGACTGCCAGACTGGACAGGAAAAGAGAGAAAGAAATAACCCTGCTTCTCCTGTCCCCTGTTGCTGGGCTTCTCAAGGTACCTCTCAGTGCTTCAATAGAGCAAGGGCTGAAGAATAAGAGAGCTTTTGAGAGGCAATAACTCAGGACAGCAAGAGAGGTAGATGGATCTAAGACTAACACCCGCAGGCTACCCGGAAGAAAGGACTATGAAATGAAACAGTATTTAATTTGAGGCTAGGATGAATGACAAAAATACTAAATAAAGGAAAGACTGATGGTGGCTGCAATAGCACGGGAGAGACTGACTCTTCAGAAGGAACAAAGTTATATGGATTCCTACACAAAGGTAGGTCTTTGCTACACAGCTCAGACTCCTAGTGATCCTCCTGTCTCAGCTTCCTCAGCACTGGGACTACAAGCTTGCGCCCACATGCTGGATCTTGGTGGCCAACACAGCATGCCCAGAACCCTGTTCAGGGGCTGGCTTGGCACGTGATACCAGGGACCAAACCTGGGTCCTTGTGCCTGCCAGGCAGGTTCTTACACCACCAAGCTACCTCCCTAGGCACGTAAAAGCAGGCCTTCTGTGGGTGAAGAAAACAGCAGGTATTCCAGACGCAGACTACCTAAGTATTTTCCTACAAATAAAGAGTACAATTCATTCATTTTAAAAGTCTTTTGACTCAGTAGATAAAGTGGAATATGTATATGTGTCCAATGTAAAGAATAATGAAAAATATACTGCTACTATCCAGCCTTAGAGAGTTAAACAGGCTCATCTTCTTGAAGAAACTTTTTGTGAATTAAAGGTACCTGTGAAAAATTTGCCACTGTTAACTATTTTCATCTTTTCTATTATAAGGCCAGGGATCAATCGTAGGGCCTTTCACAAGCCAGCAAGCATTCCACCACTGAGCCATACCTCCACCCTTCACTGTAAGCACTTTTAAGCATCTAATTCAGGAGCATTAATTACATTCATAATATTGTACAACTGTCACCACTGTTTCTGAACCTTTTTGATTCCTAAACAGAAACTCTGTGACAATAAGTATTTCCCCTCCCTTCACCCATGTAGTGAATAACTTCTAAATATATTAAACAATAAGATGGATTTGTAGTTAGCTAGAGGAAGAGATAGACAGATAAATAGATAGATGATACACATAAAAGATTACCAGGTGCATAGAGATATGTTATAAAAATGTTAATAATAGAATCCAGGTCATGGATATATAGGTTCAAGTTTCTTATATGCTTGAAATTTTTCTTAATAAAACATTGGCAGAGGAGGTCAATACTTAGGCCCCAGCGCCAGAGATTCTGATTTAATTGATTGGGTCTGAACACTAGATTTTTAAGAAGTGCTCTGGATCGTTTCTCATGTGTATCAGGGTGGAGACCCACAGCTCTCAAGTCCACCATGGGCTCACAGAGCTGAAGAGAGCAAAAGGGATGAGAGAATGCAAAAGGGGTGGGAAGAGCAGGTAATGTCTTGTGTTCATGTCACAGATGGGGCCTCCAGCCTGGGTTGTTAAGTGCTTTCTGTGTATAAATGGGTAGACAGATGGGCTTCATGTAAAAGAAGAGACACACAGCTACTCCATAAGGGCAGGCCAAATAGCTCCGCGGATTAAGCACAGGGGCCAGGGTTCGATCCCCAAGCCTATCATGCCAGCCTCATCCCCAGCGCGTGCTGAGACTGCAATTGAGACTGGGGGTGGTGGTGTGCGCCTGTAATCCCAGCTCTTGGGAGGCTGTAAACAGGCAGATCACTATGAGTCTGATCTAGTAGTGAGACCCTGTACACCCTGTAGACCTTTCCCTAAAATACAAAACAAAAAACGCCAGCTACTCCATAGATTATTGAGATTATAGCAATGGTCACTGTCCCCAAAATTTATTAAAATAGGACTGAGATGTTTATGTTTATTTTAAGCTTTTAATTTGAAATGCCATCCTTTGTAATATTTTCTGTAGCTTTCAACAAGGGTATCCATACATTCAGAAGGAAACTTTTAGCCTGTGATCTCCCCCAACCACTGAAAAGTGCGAGATTCACCTTCAACACATATATAGAGATGCTGTCATGCTTTACTCACTTTATACAATTCTATGGAGAAGAGATGGGTCTGTTGAGACAGAAAAAAAAAAATTGATCCTGCGACAACAGGGAGGGAACAAGAGAAAGGCCAAGGGAGGATGGCATAGTAGCCTCCTTTCGGGGCTTGGAAAATTGACAATTGCTAAGATGCATTTGTAACTCAATTAACCTATAAAAAGTATACTTGATCATTGCTTTTTAAGGAAAGAAATGAATTACCAAAAGGCAGTATCTACCACAAATCAGAGAACATATGGAAGTTTTCATTTCATTAAAACTAGTTTCACATAAAAAATTAATATTTTAACAATCCTTTACCCCTCACTGTTCACAATAAATCATCTGATAATTCAAAAAAAAAAAAGTGTACTTGATTCTCCCCAAAGAACCAATTTCCATGCTGCTAATTACAATATGCTCTCTGCAGTAGAACAATGGCTACGTTCCATAACCCTTCTCCTATCCCCAGCTACTTTAAGCCTTGCTCTGAAGTTTACTATAGTGCTTAACTTTGTTTTCCCTGCAGTAAATAATCCCAGTCCGTTTAACATGTGAAAGGAGACAGTAACTCCGTTTAACATGTGAAAGGAGACAGTAACACGAACATCTGATCTCTTGTCAGGGGACCCCAGCATGGCTCCAGTTGCCAGCTGGAGGCAAAACAGGGCCCAAGGGCAAAAGCAGAATGGCACAGAAGGAAGGGGACCAAAGGTCAATTTCAGAGCAGCTCTATCACAGGTGAGATCTAAAAGGAAACTGCTGGCTCAAAAGCAGGAAGCAAATAAAAGTTCGGGAGCCAAAGGAATGCAAGAACACACCAGAAAAGGGGATGCCAGAGAGAAAAAGAGTAAGGTTTGGGCCATAAATGAGACCAGAGTACATCAAGCTCATGCTTAGCTTAGTTGTTTTTTTTTTTTTTTTTTGTTTTTGTTTTTGTTTTGTTTTTGTATGGGGGATAGAACTCAGGACCTTGCACTTGCCAGGCAGGCACTTAGGCGGCTGAGTTATCTCCCCAGCTAAACTCATTCTTAAAAAAAAAAAAAAAAAAAGCTTTTATTTAGTTATTTATTTGGTATAGGGTCTCACTACACAGCTCGGATTTGTAATGATCCTCTAGTCTCAGCCTCCCCAGGGCTGGGATTACAGACACGCACCACCACACCGAGTTTCAGTGTCCAGGCCAGCAGCACAGCATGTGGTGCCTGGGATTGAACCTGGGTTCTTGCACTTGCCAGGCAGGTGCTTAGACCACTGAGCTATCACCCAGCCCACTAAGCTCATGCTTGATGGGAGCTTGTCCTGTGGGTCTTAGGTAAACAGGCAGGAGTTAGGAATTACAGGCTGGGACAATGAACAAGGGGGAAGAGGAGGAGAAGGAAGATGAAGAGAAGGAGGGAGAGAAGTCCCAAACATATCATCATAGACCTATTAATCGATGCTTCTTTTGATGACCCTGAGCCAAAGAAATTGCATGTGGTATCCTCTATTTTAAAAGTAAGGGAAGCATGCAAAATATTTTAGAAGTTTGCAAATAACATGGTTTAAAAATTTTTAAAGAGGTTCTTTTATCCTTGAAAAGATAACTCTCAGCTGCCAGGAAAATATACGTATGTGTAATCCCACATTGCCTCCCTCAATCTAGGTAGCTGTGGTGGCAATTCAAAGAAGCAGAGGCACGGCATCTTGACTTTGAGAAGTGTCTCTATTTCTCCCAGCTAGTGTGGCTGCTATTTTTCCTTTCTCCTCTATTTTGTAGCTGTAAAGTATATTGACATCCTTAGATGGCTTTGATACAACGTGGAAATTTGAAAACTTTCAAGGAAGGACTATACTGGGCTAGCAAAAACCCTGTGTTTTATTCACTATATCCAGGTGAAGAGACACTGCAACAGACCCAACTGAGTAGTATCACTGAGGGTGAGGAGAGGGCTTGACGGCTCTAAGGCCAAATGGTGCAGGAAAGAAGTATCCCACAGGAAAGAGGCTGCTGTTTTCAGAAATGTAAGCGTGTAAAAAAAAAAAAAAAAATTCTGGGCGGGTGTCTACCACAATCTATGAAGACTGCACAGTTCATGAATCGCAGGGATCTGAACTTATGTTTATCTCTCTTTAAGTTTCTATTTTGGGGTGTTTTCCCCCTTTCTACTGTTGTGTTTCCTTTGCTGGGGAAAATATTTACAATTGCTGCCAAACTCCTGGTGTTCCACTGTCTGCCCTCCCTCCTACCCTGCTTTGACCTCCATCCTGGAGTCCACTTGGGTGGAAATGCAGCCTATAATGAACCCAGAGTTAATCATCTGCAGGTTTCCTCTGATAAGTCACAGTATGTTTGCTGCCCTCTTTTCAAAAGTCAACAGCAGCCACAGGGATGTGCTGACAGTGGCCTATGGCATTCTGAGCACTGGCCAAGATTGGAGGTGGGGTGTTGGGGAGTTTCTCTGAACACCTCCATCTGGAATGCCTCTGTTGCCCTGAAGAACTTGTCTGTGTCTCTGATGGACACAGCTTAGAGATGCCAAAAATTGAGCCAAATTCACTGGGTGTACAAATGGCCTGACGTCAATGGAATTTGCACATAATTTAGGCCTCATGTGAGATGTACTGTCTGAGCTCAATGATCTGTCAAAACAATCTGGGAGGTGGAGATGAAAGAAGAAAAGGTGGAGGAAAACAGGAAGAAGCAAAGTAAGAGGTAGAGGAAAAGATAGAGGAGAAGAAAAAGGAAAAGGAAAGGAGGACACAGCCAGAGGCTGTGGCAAGACAGGTTCAGTTTTGGCTCCTGAGGCCAATGGTCTCTGTGAGTTTGTTGAAAGCCTCGGTGCCAAAAAGCACGGCCTTTTAAAGCACTGAATTACATGAGAGCAGAGCTGTTAAAATCAGTGTAGCAAAAATCCAGCTGGGTTTGGCCAGTGCCACAAAGTACAAAATGATGAGCACTCGTACTGCCAAGACCCAAAGTTCCCCAGATGTGGTAGCCCAAACAGTTATTTGAATATATATCCAGATTTTCATTCTTTAAAACAAGAAATCTGCTATGAAGAAATGGACATCTGCTCTTCCAGCTTGCCCTGTGTCCAGAGGGGGATTTATTATGAAGCTAACAGAGTTTAATTTTCAGAGGTCTTCACTTGCCTGGGTCCCCACAAGTGCTGGGATTTATGGAGTACTGTAGACAGAGATGGCTGGCTAAATGGTGAGTAACACACACACACACACACACACACACACACACACACTTAACAGCATTCCTGGTAAACTGCCTAAATATCTTAGAAGAAATCAGTTTAAAGCCCCAAGATTCTAATCATGATTTGTGAGTTAGTTTCTCTGATAAAATTTACTCTTATACCTATTTTTAAGCTCTTAAATTATTTTTTATAAAAGATGGGTCCAGACTATAAAATCTCAAGTTCCACAAAAATCTGAGTCTCCCCACTTCTGCCACTGTGGCCTCCTCCTCATTCACTTCTGTGAAGAGGGTCTTCTCCTTGCTCTGTGGCAGGTTACAGGGTCCATGCCCAGCTAGTGAGGGGGACACTGATTGGTTCAGAAACAAGCATGTGATCCAACATGGACCAGTTTTCACTGGAAATTTGTATGTTGAAAAAATTACTTAATTGTGGGGACACATTCCTACCAACCATCTTGCTGCTGTAAGAGGGAGAATAAAATCAGCATTGAGAAAGCAGAGCCGGAAGCCCAAAGGAAGCCAAGAAGTAGTAGTGTCCCTTGTATCCCATACCAGCTGTTTGAAAGCTAGTGTAGCTAGCCCAAGCCTTTCAGACAGATGCAATGAAGCCTTCTTCTTTACTTAGAGTTGGGTTTCTGTCACTTACAATGGAAAGTCTTGAGTAATACAGGTCCTACTCTGCTAGAAAAAGATAACTATTTTTTTTCCCATTCTGAAGATAGTACTTGGGTGTATTTCCTCCCAGTCATTATAATTATACATAACATTTAGTGTGCTCACACCTATGAAGGGCTATACTCATTGTAACCCACTGTATCTGAAAAGTATCTTAGTGAAGTACATACTGTTATTATCATGTCCATTTTACTGAAAAGGAAATTGAAGGCACATAGAAGTTAAACAACTTCAATTAGTCTGTGATTGGCTTTAGACTTTGGATTCCTGTTGCACTGTTCGGCTTGGGCCAGCTAATTTGGAATCTACATGATTTTGTGAACAATTCTTATACCAAGACCTCATCGGCTGTCACTGTTATAGATCAGATGCTCTTAGAACAAATGCCAGGCATGGGCAACATGGCATGCTTCCCTTAGAGCCAGCTAAATGTGGAAAGCACATGGAATAAAATTGATTCTTCACCAATATATGCATACCAGCCAATGGGGCACAAATCCTACTTTTCTCATCTCTCAAATATGCTTCCCTGTGACCTTTCTCCTTCAATTCATCTCAGAAACGCATTGCTCCTTAGTGTCAGTAGTGGCATTTTCTAGCTGTAGCTCATCTGTTGTCACTCCCTTTCTAACATGTTATCACAAGACTCCACTTCAGAAGTTTTCATGCCAAAGGTGGAAGAATGGACTGAGGGGTCCTGATTTTCTCAAACCACACACACTGTGTGTCCAATTTGAATAACTTCACTCTCGGTTTCATTAAGTCCCTCCTTCTTGTGCCTCTTCCAGAATAACTTCCAGGACTGCCTCTGTTTTTTCCTGCCTGTGGCTCCAGCCTGACAGCTTTACAATGATTAAAAGCCTGGCTCCTGCTGTCACCAAACCAAGTGCTTCAGACTGAAAGCCATGAGAACCCGATCCTTTCACTTTTCAACAAACATTTCTTGAGACGGAGGAAACACTAGTGATTCAGAGATGAGTAATGCTGTTCTGTCCTTCGCAAAGTAATTGGTGTAGGTTAGAGAGAACACAAGGCAAACGGCTCCCACGAGCAGAATGAGTGGACTCAGACAAGAGGGAGATGCCAGCTCTTTGAAGGGACTACAGAGACTTGCTGAAGCAGGATCACTAATGTGTGACAAGAAAAGTCATCCTGGAGTGGCAAGAGGAAGTATCGGGTGGAGAATTGAGAAGAGTATTCCAAGCATATGAAACATGCTCAAGGATAGAAAAGCAATTAAAGAGCATGGCTTGTCTGTGAAATAGCAACAATTCTGAGAGGGCAGGAGAAGAATCTAATATATATTATATATATACATATATTATATAATATATATTTAATTTTTTTGGGAAAGAAACAGCAACGAGACAGTTTCAAACCAGGTTAGTAGGACAATTACAATAATTAATACATTGCTTATTGTTGTCTTTGTAGTAGTTATTCATAGTACAAAATGCAGACATGATATCTTGTCGGGACACTATTAGTATAAATCTTTCTTCTCACTGAACTCAGAGAAAGTAGCTGTATATCTATCCTAACTATTTTGTATATACAGATTTTTTTTTTTTCACTACAAAGTGGTCCTTCATTTATATCCCTTTTCTTGGTTTAGTTTTGTCAGAGATGGGTATTCCATTGCCATTCAAATACCGTAGGTGTGTGAATTCAGCATATATACCATATATATGCCAGCTTGCAAAGTTTTTACATGCTATTAAAGAATCTGAAATTCATCTGATATTATAAAGAGCCAGTGAAAGACCTCAGGCAGAATGAACCATAATTGGGCTGGGGAGATAGCTCAGCAATCTAAGTGCCTGCCTGGCAAGCACAATGACCCAGCTTTGATCCTCAGTGCTACATGCTATGCTGGCCCCAGAACTCCAGGTGAGCCACGCTAGCCACCGAGATCAGGCGTGGTGGCACACACCTGTAATCCCAGTGCTGGGGAGGCGGAAACAGGAGGATCACTATGAGTCTGAGCTGCGTAGCGAGATCCTGTATCAAATAAATAAAATAAAAGATTTTTTTTAAAAAAAAATTTAAAACAAGAATGAGCCATCATTACATTTGCATTTCAGACAGGTCACATGACAACAGTGCCACTCCCTTGTAATAATCAGAGCCCAGCTTCCAGCCTTGAGCTTTGGGTTTGAGATTCTTCATATCAATCCAACTTTAGCCTCTGTGATCACTACCAGTGGGCTTTTTTCTCTTTCCTAAGTGCATAACACAACCTACCTTATCCTTCAGCCTGGGTTATAGCATTTCCTCCAAGGTTCTGAACACTATGTGGGTATGCATTGCAAAGAGGGAATTCCAAACTACACGGTGTGTATGTCACATTGTTGTCTTGCTGATGGGTTCTGATAAGTTTAAGGTTTAGGAAGACAGGTGACAGGGGCAATTAGTGCGAAATGGGGCTAGCATTTTGGAAAAGCTTCTTCTTTTAAAGAACAGAAGAAAATGAGAACTCTAATCAAGACAGTATCCTTTTCAATTTTCTGGTTGTTTTAAAAATACTATAGGGGCTGGAGAGATGGCTCAGTGGTCTAAAGCACCTACTTAGAACAAGCTTAGCAAAGCATCGGGGACCGCGGTTCAATCCCCCAGCACCACATGCCAGCCAGCCTCGCCCCCTGGTGGGCTGAGCTGGCCACACACACACACCACACTCTCTCTCTCTCTCTCTCTCTCTCTCTCTCTCTCTCTCTCTCTCTCAAATAAATAAAAAAAAATAAAAAAAATATTAAAAAAAAATAAAATAAAAATACTATAAAATCTGCATTTATATTTTAATAATGATACCCTTTATAGTTGATTGAACGTTGGCTCTAAAAAGGATATATTCATATCCTAATGCCAGTCTCTGTGAATGATACCTTATTTGGACAACGGGTCTTTGCAACTATAATTAAGTTAAGAATCTTGAGATGAGATCATCCAAGTGGGCCTTTAATCCAAGGACAAGTATCTTTGTAAGACAGAGAAAAGAAGAAGACAAAGGGGAAAAGCCAAGTGAAGCTGGAGGTACCAACTGGAGTTGATACATAACTACATGCTAAAGAGGAGGCACCAGAAACTGGACAAGGGAAGGAAGGATTCCCTGCTAGAGGTTTCAGCAGAAGGGTGGCCTTCAGACACCTTGGTGTCAACCATCCAGCCTGCAATAGAGAATCGCTCTCTCTTGTTTTGAGCCACCAGGTTAATAATAATTTGTTACAGCATCCCTAGAAAGCTCATACATTTTCTTTTAATAGCCTATGTTTAACAGTTATTTTTTAGAGTTATATATAAGTGCCTGTAATGGTATATAATGTAAACCAACTTGGACAAGGTAATTCAATCCCTCAGAGCCAGATGTTTTTTAACCTAATCTCATTCTCACAGAATGTCAAGATAATAAAATACGTAAAACTATGTAACAGACAACTGACAAAGGACAGTTGCTCAAAGATTTATCCATTTGAGACCAGTACTCAAAACATACTACAGACGCCCTATGGAAGCAAGGCCTTCCAGCTGAGAGCTGGGGTAATAGACATGCAAAGCCCAGAGCCCGTGTCAGAATCTCTTTTGCATGTAACCGCTTACACCATCTGCTGTCAGGCCTTGTTTCTCACCAGCTAACCACTGCCCTCTCCCCCAACCTCCTCTACTTCCTGTTTACGTAGATAGCGGCTTCCTGGCCAAGGGAACTGAACCCTTTCGGTCAGACTACTTTTTCCCTGGACCTATGCCAGGAATACCTTCTTTGCTCTCTCCTTTTGCAAACTGCATCCCTGAGTGATTTCCAGCTAAGCAGCTAATCCTCTTCCTGGCTATGGGACTGAATATAAGGAATAACATTAGGCATTATAATATATCAGGCATTATGTATGAGGAAATTTGTCCATTCCTGCTTGACTTGGCACCTCCAAACTTTGGCTACTAGTGCTTTTCAAATATAAATGTACCGCTTAGGATGCTTCCGTCCTCAGTCCTAGCCCTATCCTGTGGGGAAAACTGGTTAGCAGGACACCAATAGGTGAAACTCAGCCGGGACATGAAGTTGGGGAAATTGTTGAAATGATCCAATTTATGAGTCCTAGTCCTAACATGAGGCAGCTATCCAAATAATCGGGGGAGCTCTTGCAAACAAGTAGCAGTTGGAACTTGAGGCTATTCTGGGAAAAAATCCTAGATGCTAATGATTTTTTTAATCATAACTTAACGCTTTCCATCCGTAGCACAACAGATAAGAATGTGGACTCTGGAGCCTGTGCAGATGGCCTGTATGACCTTGGGCATGCTACTTAAATTCTCTGTCTCCATTTCTGTTCCTGTAAAACAGTGGAGAGAATACTCAATAGAATTGTGAGGAGTGAGTTAATATTGTTAAAAAGCACTTAGAAGTATATCTTCGTATTACTATTACTTTCTTTGTTGTTTTTATTACCCTGCTGGAGAGAAGTTGTTCAACAAGTGGGATCCCTGAGTTAGTGATGTGAGGACAACACAGATAGAGGTGATGGCAGCTTTTAGGGTATGACAATGGAAGTGAGTAACAGAGATGGGAGAGAGGAAAGACCATGACCAAAGGAGAAAATTTATAGTGTTGAATCATGTGCTCGCTGGGACTAGAGCACTGGAATTTAGATCATGCTTTACTACCTTATGGTGGCACAGCTGTGAGCCAATTACTTCTTTCTTCATCTGTAAAACAGAAATTATAATAGTGACTTATCTTACCAGGCTGTCGCGGAATCAAATGAGTTACGTAACATGCTGATTTTTTTTTTTTTTTTTTTTTCTTCAGAACAGTGACTGGCATCTGGCAAGTGTTAGCTCTTAGTTTGATTGGAGTTGAAAAGGTCAAGGAACTGAGGGGCCAGTTGTTAACTGGACATTGACATTATCCAAGATGACAGCAGGGTTTGAAGTAAACAGCAACCCTCTGAGCTAGGTATAAACCTCTTCATTGAATGCAATAGTAAAGTAGAAATGGGAAAGTTATCAGCCAAGTGGCTTTAGCCTTCAAATGACTAGCTTGCACAAGAGTATGCGAGCAAGCAGACCCCAATACCATATCCTTGCCTTGAGCTGAGGAAATAAATTAAGATCAAGAAGCAAAGGGAACAAAGAAGTTGCTGAGGCAGTAAGAGAGCTTTCTAATTAGAGTGACTGTCCAGATGGCCTGGTCAGAGTCTGGAGGGTGGAGGAAGAATGGGGGTAAAGCTGTGCTTTCTAACCATTACGGAAATGCTTCCCACAGTAAATGGTCTAGAATAGCCACTAAGACTTTCAGAAGTGACGGATATTTGCACCGTCCATTATGATGGGCAGTAGCACACGGGGTTGTCAAGCCCTTAAAATGAGGCCAAAGGGATCAGTATTCTCAAATAATTACTCTGAAATTTTACTAAGAAGTAGAATTCTAGTACCACCTTCATCTACTGAATTATATCTCTGTAGTCTGCTCAGGACTGTCCCTCAGAGATTTCCAACTAAGATGTATACACCCAGGTTTAGGAACTGATGCAGAATCTATTGAGAAGGAAGATAGATATTGGGTCAAACAGAACAGTTTAAACTTTCCATTTTATTCCAAGTGATATGGAGTAGATTATATTCTCTTTATTTTGAAAATGTTTGGTTGGTGCAGGAAAATTGACAGTTTAAAGGATGTAATGAGGAAAATTGTGTTACCTTAAATCCTGATAATAGGGCTTCTATTGGGGAGGACTAATTGCTTGACAAGATAGACTCTGATATCTGCTTAAATCCAAAAGTATAAAAAAATGGAAATACTCTCTGCATAAACTGGGTAAGAAGTTTAAATTCTGAGGGTCCCCTGGGGAGAGGCAGGGAGACGTGTGTAAGATGGTAGTGGACTACACAAACACACATGCGCGTGTGCATCAATATCAGTGTAAGAGCCTGATAGTCCACCAAATTACAGATATTTATTGTGAATTTTGAAAGGGATAAGTCAATGAAAAGACTGACTTTTTTACTTGGGGCCAGCGGAAGAGGAGTATAGCCAGCACCATGGAGTACAGGTATCTGGAGGTAGAGAAGGTCAGAGCACAGAAAACTTTGGAAATGCCCATAAAGCTGGGAAAACGTCCATGTTATTCCACATTGTGGAATCAGGAAGTAAAGGCAATCTCATGTAGCTCCCATTCCTAGGAGGCCCCAGATTTCAGTAGGAAAATATCAACACACAAAGTGACTTGTGAGTCCTCCAATCAGAGATGCCTGACCCTGGGGCCCAGCCATTTGAGCCACTGCAGGCATTTCTGCTAGTCTGGCCT